GTAATCAAATGTAAAAACTACGGCTTTAAATTAAGTAATTCACCAAATACGTCGTGATGTTGGGGAACTTATAAATATCAAGCCGTAATGACCAAGGGGGATCAATAAGGGTTAAAAACTTCAATTTGTTTGTCGTATCTGTTCCTCGTGTCTCAACTAAGCCTTGAGTAGTATGCACTTCAAGATATAATTATACTCATCGGACATTTGTTGTAAAGAAAAATATTCTCTCTCCTCAGTCTGATTCAGCTTCCAGCCCTATTGATAAATATAAGTATTCCGAAAAATTTAATATTAAAGTTCATTGCACTTGCTCCGCCTAGACTGCGGCTTCTAGAATTTCTTTCATAATAACAATTCAGCGTAAATGATCAAACATCAACCAAAATCCAATTGAAAAGGTAAAAAATACAAATACACCAACGTAAAATGATTAATAATAAATTGTGTAAGGTTAGGTTACACAATAACACATTTTTAATACTGAAAGTAGTGAACTAGGCATTCCCATAACTATCATTTCGTTACAGAAATAACGCTAGTGCAGTATTAAAATAAGGAATAACCTTAGTACTGCATGACAGTATTTAGCATGTCCAATTGAAGAATCACAGGCATTTATGCGGTATAATTGTCCGAGTGGTTTAAAGCGAAATTTTGCACACAACAATCGAGGCAAATGATAATTAACAATAAAGCATTATTACGTGATTTTATTTGCTTGGAAAGGTGGATCAGCAAAGAGTGCTGAACTGCTGCGCATCGTACTTTCAGTTTTCTAAGGATGCTCCCCTATTCAGCAGCAGAGTAGAAATTCGCTGCGGCTACATATTTAATTAGCTGAGAGATAATTAGATACAGGTTTAATTAATGCCTACTTTTGCAGAACAAGCGTTTTTGTTATGTCATCCCGGCTGCCGTTACCGGGAGGATTCATTAAGGAGCTCAAAGTTACTGGGCGACTTTTAATTATTGCTAAATGAGAACAGTTTGAAACTCAAATTAGAAAGGAAATGTAAGGATTCTAAATAGGTAATTTTAACGAAAGGCAGAATTGTGTTATTACTTGCTCGAGTTAATTGAAGCTAAGACTAATGAAATGGAGGTGGAGTAGTTTTATTGTTACACGAAGGGAATTAGATTAGATAACTTTGTTCTATGCTGTTCACTCAATGACTAATTGCCCATCTTTAACGTTTCAACTTTTTAACGATCTGCCATGTATATTGTTCTTTTAAATCAGTTGAGCGTTCAACCGTCTCAATTTGCTTCCAGGACGTTTTCCGAAAATTGTGCAAATCAGCACAACACGAAATAATCCCTTAAAATGTTTCATTTGGTTCACATCTTTTTCATTAAACATTTGAAAATTAAAACGCGCACAGTAATTCCTACAAGAAACATCTACTTAATTAAGGATTTAAGGTTAATGAGGTTGACCTTCCTCC